GAATTCAAATAAAAACTCTTCTATAACTTTTGATGTCAAGCTCAACCTCTATTGGTTGGCACAGAGGATCTACAGTAGGGGGCATTGGAAATAAAGCATGATGTGAGGAATGTAGATGCCAGGCTAATCATGGACGACTAATTTTTAACCTTTTCTCGTGATTCTCTAACAGTTATGGGCATAGGTAAAGGATAAAACTAGTCGAGCGTTGGAACCAGTTGCTTTTATCCAGACCAATTTATGCAGAATAGTATCCAAGGGGGTTTATTGGCCGACGCCTACGCGTTTGGCCCAGGAGGAATCAAAAACAAATATCAAAAAGAATATTTCACAGTCTGTCGTATATCAAGGAGGTCTCAGAAGTACCTAAACACATTTGCGTAAAAACAGGTGTTGGAATTGCACACCGGCCCAAAGCTACCTAGCGCAGTGGGATAATAAAAATGAAAGACCAAATAAATCCCAAGGAACAATCTATGGCAGTGTATCCCATCCCATGCCGAATCCTTCCTTGTAACTACAAAAGTCAGACCGAACGCATGCTCTGATCATGCGGCATAAACATTAGCTGACTGTGCGATCAAGCGAGGGATTATCGCAGGTACCTGCCCAGACTTACGAAACAGGCCATAAGTTCATTTTTGTAGCCGTCAAGATAATCACCCAAGCCAAGAAAAGACTGAAGCGTGGCCCTTGGATAGAACTCAATCAGAGAGTATTACCGACAAAAACAAGGGAACCAGGAATGGCCATTTCTGGCTCATTAGCTGTCATCAGTCAGTCATACTCAACCCCGAGTTGTGCCCTAACCATAACTCGAACCCGCGGCATTTTGATCAGAAACCGTATATTCTAACCACTGAACCACGGGCAAGTTTTCTTGCTGGTTTAGATCGGGACATTTTGATACTCGTTGGTAAACGTTCACCGATCGCTAACAGAACTCACTCACCCCGCTCTGCCTTAGGGTTCATTCTCGAGCGCCGCCAGCAGCCGCACAGCGGCTAATAATCTAGGCAGATAGCTAGTGAGCCAGGAATGTCCATTCCAGCCTCCCTTGTTTTTGCCGACAATAGTATCTGCCTGAACTACAAGCCGCTGTGCGGCTGCTGACATGGCCCAAGAAATGAGACCCAAGGCAGAGCGGGACGAACGAGTTCCCTTAGCGATCAGTGAACGTTCATCAACATGAAAGTCAATCAATCGATGCATCGATCGGGTGCTATCCTACAAAGCCCTGCGCAGGCTTCTCCACACTTGTGTCATTAATTGGCTTGTTCTCCTATATAAGTTTAGTCGTTTCCGTTGCTACTGCTACGTCTGACGCTGGACTCCTGCATGAGTTCGAAAATTCATGATAATAAATCCATTATTCCGCTGCTCTAATAGCCTTCTTCTTTAGTCCTAGAAAAGCACCTGGAGCTCGAGCGTTCGCATCCATTTGGAGTTGGGCGTTTCCATTTTGTCCTGGTTTGCAGGAGGCCACTTATCTAGTAGCACACCGAGATGGAAGATGCTATCGGAAAGCGTCAGAGACGGTAAAATTGTCATGTTTGACTTATTAGAGATTATCAGTCAATATCGCAAAAGCACTTTAGGTGAAAGAGAGACAGAAACTCACGCCAGTCTTTCCTTTACCCGGGGGTTTTGATAGGTGACATGGTGAAAATAGGCAGCTGCATTTCTACTAATGACGGGGTAGTCATTTTTCAAACAGGCAATCAGTCGTTTAAGCTCATCGTCAGGAATAATTTCGTCATTTTCCTCAGCCTCTGGCGCCGGCAGCTCTTCCTCTTGATGCGCTTTTACTGAAAATAAAGAGGAGTGATGTCTACATTTGAATTTCTTAGGAAATGGCAACAGTTATTTGCAGTTTGATACCTCTTCTTGTGTCCTCTGATGCAGGACAACTGACAGATTCTTAGTCTGTTTAACGTTTTCCTCACAGACACAGCCGAAATATTTCCGAACCCATCTATCAGACGAAATATCGGCGTTAAGTTCAACTTTTCAATTTCCTTAGAAACTAATTTCTGTTCTTTGTATGGGCTTGTATATTCAAGGTCTGTTGGCATAGACCAAAATTTGATGTATACGTTTAGGCCGAACTCATTCAGCCACTGTGGCATAACCGCGTAATATACACACGCAGCCAACGG